TAAAATCTTTTTAAGAAAAAGAAATGGCTGTAAAATATTGCCCCAAATACAGAGGAACAAAATTGATTTGAAAGTGTAATTAATTAAAATATACCACAGAGCTATATTAAAGCACATGTTAAATGAAAACTTTAAAAAAGTAGGTTTAAGAAAAGCAGATGTTTGAGGGAAAGACTTGATGAAGTGTGGAATAATCAAATCAAAATACATAAAGTGAAAAAAATCATGATCCTAATTATAATAAGAATTTTTAGCCTAAAAGGAATATTAGCAATATTATGTGATTACAGAATTATCACTTTCATATTTGCACTTTCTGTATTTCTCTATTTGACATGTAATGTTTTAGAATTGAAAAATTATAAATTTTACTGTGAAACACAGTATTAAGTAGCCATCCATAATGACTGTATTACTGGTTATTTGTAGGAGAGGAGTCTGAATAGCAAATATGAAGTCATCCTGAAAACCTGAATTTCAAAATAAAACATTATTAAATCACTTCAAGAATCCAAACACAAGAATCACCCAACAAAATGTTTTCACGCTGTCTGGGTCATCTCCATCTTAATAGTCTAACATGTTAGCTTCCACCTACAGACAAACAACAGCACAAAACCTATACTCGAAGGTCTGTGTCAGAAGACAGGGGCTTCCCTAGTCCCAGGTTTGAGTGCAGGCAGCAGGTGCTTGGGAAACAATGTGTGCTTGCTGCGCAGAAGTACACAGCTGAGTCTTCAGGCTGGGTGTCTCTGATGTGCAGGGAGAAACGTTTGGCCGTCTTATTCAATGAGAGAGTGAGTCTTTGGTCTTCTTTTGTGGCCACGGTTGAACGAATGTCTATAAGGAGCTGGGGACCATTCCCAAGTTCTTGCTTATACCAGGGGAAGTAACTTGAGGCACTATCTGAATAACTGCAGTTGATAACAGAGCTGCTTCCCTCCTGGACACTCAGGGTAGAAGGATGCTGCTCCACATTCTCTCCCTGGCTAAACCCTGTGCAGAAAGAAAAGGTGAGAGAAAGGAGAAGAGATTCCAGGTTATTGTGCTTCAGAATTCTCTTTTTCTACACTAAGTGGAGGAAACTTGAGTAAAGCCAGTCTCGACTTCTGAAGAATATCCACTAATATACTCTAAACTCACAATTCAGTTGCAGCCACGAGAACATGATTAAAGCTCCCATGGATGTCTTCATGGTTCCTCCCAGTTAAGCTCAGGTTCAGAATTGCAGCCTCCAGCCAGCTCAGCACCTTCTCTTATCAGGCCGTCCCTTCTTTCCTCTAACAGAGGACTTTCCCACATTGTGTACCAACCAATAAGAAAAAGGCTCTGCTTCTGCCATAGTCTAGTCCATCAGATGCACTAAAATGAACCCTCTATGTGGTCTGCATCAGCACAGGTGCACTGCCATCTTGTGGTCACATCTCTGTGAATTCGCTGGGGAAATGTTCTCTTAGCCTGTGCCTCTGAGGGACTCACATGCATTAAGGCAGCAATCGGTCAAGGAAATTATATCTTAGATCAGGGATGAACTGTACAGTAAGAACATGGAGATCAAGGTTTACATGCCTGCACACTGCTGAGTCACTGTTAGTAATTTGGAAAGAGGTAGATGCTATTGCTATTTATTCAGTGATGAGCCTGGTGTACATGTTTAAACTCAGGAAAGAATCAAGATTCAGTCTCTTAAACAAAGAAAATGGAAACACTTCCCTTTCTGCCAAACCTATTGTCCTCATTTGTCTGTTAAAGAGAAAAAACATTTGTAAAAGGAACATGGAAGCCAAAGATTAGAGTAAGAGAGAGAAGGTCACTTGATATTTCAAATGCCTCTTTTTTCAGACTATTCCTCCTCTGGTCTTGCTCCAGACCTTGAGATTCCCAGAGAGTTGACTGTACCAACAGTCAAAATGTTTAATGTCAAAGAGGAAGTGAGGAAACCCACTTTCTTTCTCGCCTGACTCATTCAGTACCTAATTGTTTCCTACTGTTGTCTTGGTTACAGTCTCTGATGTGTAAATGAAGTTGGACTCAAGAATTTCTAAGGGCACTTACAGCTTTAAATTTCTTTTGTACTATATAACAAAGCAAATATTTGTTGATGACTGGTGGTGTGCGCTATGGATAAGTGTCAGAGTGGGTGAAATTGCCTGCATTATGGAACTCCAAGACTATTTTCACAGCCACAGGTGACCGAGTATGTCTGAGGTTAATCTTAGCCAATGGCGGAGGCATCTTCAGAAGCAGAGATACAGTCCTCAGGATGAAATCCTATCAGGATTTTCATTTCTTCTATAAGATCAATAATGTATCAAGGAGAGTTAAATCCATATGAAAATGTAATAAAATAGGATTTATTCACTGAGTGAAAGTTCTTCACAGGCAGTGATATCAGGGGGCTTCATGGCTGAGCCATGTGAAGGCCGGATATTCTTCTGGAGATGTAATATATATATATATATATATATATATATATATATATATATATATATATATATATATATATATATATATATATTTTATATATCCTACAGAAAAAAGAAAGAATGTTGGCAGTTGAGGCAGCCTAGAGGGGGTAAATGAGCTTACTAATACAGAAAGAGAGAAGCACTTTTTAAGACAGCTTAATTTCTTTTTGGATTCTGGCTTTCTCCTTGAAACTTTACTTTGGAGTTTCCTTATTTCCAGCCATGGATATCTACACAATTTTTGAGATCATTCCAAAATGAAAACTTGGGAACATCTTTCAAAAAGCAAGGAAAAATTCTCATTAGTTAATGTTTCTAGAGGAATCATTTATTAAAAATGCTTTAACTCTTCATACATATTAGTTTCATGTCTCTCAATTTAATTTTTTAAAGACTCTTATTTTCAACCATCTTAACCAGGTTCAAAGAAAAACAAGGCTGATGTACTGGGTATCCAATGCAACTCCTGCAGCCACACAGGTATAGCCTCTCCTATTATCAACCTCTCCTGGACAATTTTCACAGTGAAGGAGCCAATGCTGCCAGGTCATATCACCCAAAGCCCAGAGTTTATCTAGGGTTCACTCCAGCTATTGTGCATTCTATGGGTGTGAACAAATGTAAGTAAGTATCCACCATTATAGTATCACAGAGACTAGGCTCACTACACTAAGTATTCTCTGTGCTCTTCATCCCTGCTGCTCCGTTCAACCTTTGACAACCACAATCTTTTACTCCCTCCATAGTTTTGCCTTTTCCAAAAAATCATGGGATCAGAATCATACCCTACCTAGCCTTTGCAGATCAGCTGTATTCACTTAGTAAAATGCATACAGGTTTCCCCTATCTCTTCATGGCTTCATGGCTCATTTCTTTTTAGCAGCAAATCATATTCCATTGTTTGGATGTACCACCATTTATTAATTTATTCACTTATTGAAAGACATGCAACTTACCTCAAGGTTTTGGCAATTATGAATAAAATTGCTATAAAACACCTGTGTACAAATTTGTGTGGACATAATTTTTAAAACCCTTTGGGAAAATACTCAGGAAATTCATTGCTGCATCATACGGTAAGAGTATGTTTAGTCCCATAAGAAACTGCCAAACTGCTTTTTTGAAATGTCCAGGTATACACTTTCAATCTGTAGTAATTTTCCAACAATATTTACTACACCCTTGGCTGCATGTCAAAGCCCCAGCTAGTCCAAAGCAGGCACAGACACCACAGGTGGCACCGTCAACTGCTCAGCTCACACACAGCCTGCTGTGACCCAAAAGCTGAGCCTGCATGTGTTCCCGCCTGTGTCCTGGTGCCGCATGTACCTCTCTGCTCAGGCACTTGTTCCTCCCACTTATAGGACTCACTTATAAAAGACAAGCATAAAGGTAAAACTAGTATTAATTTCAAGACAGTGAAGGCACAGCATCAAACCAAGGTCAGGGTTCCTTGGGAGATTTGGGGGGCTGTGTAACTGCACAGGTCCCATGCTCAAGAAACTGAGTTTCCTCCCTGCTTCAGGGAATCTGCCCATTTACCTTCATCTGAATTTTCAGGGGCACAGGCTTTCCTATCAATGCCCTTTTCTCAACATAAAAGCCAGTGCAGGCTGGAATCCCATTTTTGCTGGAATCTTTCTGCATGTAAGTTTCAACTTTGGGTCCGGGTCAGCAGTCTTTGTCTCTGGTTACAAGAGGGAAGGGTTCTTTTAGGGTAATCCTGAAAGCTGTCTTCTCCCTTTCCCAGACTGGGAATAATGTTATAAAATCATGAGTAATAAATTCATGCAAAATGCAAGGAAGAGCAATGATTTTCACGGAACAGAATGAAAATTTTCATAAGCTCGTCCACACAAGGTGCTATTTAGAAATGACTTAAATACATACTTCTGTCAGTGATATGTTAACATATTGTAAAACTGATCAATGGAAATCATTAAGATTTTGTGATTCTAAAATGTCTTCTATATCAGGTACTCAGAGGATAAGCTCTTATGTCACCTCAGATTCACTAACTTTTGGAATAATAAGAGCTCCACTAAAGCACTTATGCTCTAAAACTCATTTATTCTCACATGAAATGAAAGTACTTATTTACAGGGTATTACCTTACTAAAAAAAAAAAATATGTAATTAGATAAGTAGAGTGCCTGACCCTCAATAAAATTATTTTGTTTTATTTTATTTTATTTGTATTTTCAAGGGGAAGATGGTGAATACAGACTGAGAAAACATTACACATGTTCTCATTACTCTCCTTTGATAGTAAAACATTTATAGGTAACTAAAAATTTTAGTCAACTCTCTAATTGTTGATGACCATCTACTTTTTCAAGCTTCTCCCATTTGGCTATTTACAAATAATTTATATGCTAGCTGCCAGAACATCTGTCTTCCCAGGGTAATGGATATGGGCATCTCTGTCACTTGCTCCAATGGTCCCATGGTAGAACTTTTTACCTACAAAGGGCTTTTTGGAAGAAAAACGGCAAGAACAGCAAGTGAAATGAGAGCACTGGTAGGTCTAATTTAGAAGGAAAAAAAATGCTGTAACATAAGTCTAAAAATATGCGAAGGCTGCTGTGGGGGCAAAGGCCCACCCCAGGGAGAGGCGGGGGCTGCAGGCGCAGCTGCAGTTTGGGTGCAGGCTGCAGATCACAGGGGAGCACTGTGCCTCCCCCGCACACAGGTAGGTGGCTGAGTCTTCCAGTCGGGAGGCCGTGATATGGAGGGTGCTGGACTGTTCCTTAGTATTCACTGTGCAGGTTAACCTTCCACTCTGCTTCATCCCCGAAAATATGTAAAACAATGAGGTGAAGCTGCCGCCCCCGGGATTCTGTCGGAACCACTGCACTCTGTTCACTGTGCTAGAAAAATTGCACTTGAGAGTAGAGCTGGCTCCCTCCTGGAGGCTTAGGTCTGAAGGGCTCTGCTTCACCGTCATCCCTCTCACCCCTGTGTGGAAAGGGAAAAACACAAATGATATGACTGGGGAGTCACCGGTGCCATTTTCAAACCTGTAAAATATCCAAAGAACCCAATCCCAATGATGTAGGACCTTCTAGGAGTTCTCTGTCAGCTCACTCCCCTCACCACTGGGCTGTGGACTCCACCCAATACCCATGAGGAATGCAACTCACAGCAAACATGGACCCACAGAAGCCCCAGCAGAGCTCCCCAGTCTGTCTTCATGTTTCTTTTTCAATGGCTATATTAGGAATACTCCAGTCCGCAGAGGGTAGAGTCCAGGGTCCAGAAAGAAATGTGTTCTTACCCTCAATCCCTTCCAACAGACCACTGAGCACCAATCACACCTCAGCTCTGTCATTCACAGAACTCCAGACTCCACCCACAGTGACACAGTAGCAGTGCACAGTAATCTCTCCAAAAGTGTGCTTGCCAGCAAGGCAGAGAGGTAGGTGCCATATTTCCAATAAAGGAAGATATAAGGGATTTTTCTGAAAACACTTTATGTAAGATTTATGGGTTAGCATGTGAGGAAAGCTGAATGATCCTTCTAGAAGTGTCAGCATCTCAAAGGAGGTTACATAGAACCTTGAAGACTCATAGGGAGGAGACACTCCATTCCCCAAACTGCATACTTAGACAATGTGAGAATTCAGCTATGTATAAATACAGACAAAGGAAAACTATCTGGTAGCATGCATTGTGTATTGCAGAAGTAACTACAATTTCTTGAAGTCAGGAGAGTTCTAGAAACCAAAACAGGCAGCCAACATCCGCATAAAAAATGATTCCAACCAGAATTTTGTTGGTGAAAAATACATTTCTGCATAATGCCCCCTCTGATTTAATTTCCACCTCTCCACCTCTCCTGTGCTACTGGTGGATACTCTTTCACCCACATAGCTGAGGTGGGCCAAGTCACATGTTGCTGGTCAAAGTCAATATTGATCTCTTCCTTTCCTTCTATTTTTGTTCCTTTTTTTTTTCTTTTTTCTTCTTGTTCCCTCCACTCTGAGCAGAGATATATAAAAAGGTAGGATATCGGGGATTTTGAAATAATTTCAATGCCAGTAGGTTTAGGAGCTTTTATTCATAACAACCGATACCAGGTAACAGAATGTTTTCTGTCTCATTTCCTTGGTCACAAGGTCCAGAACTATCCTTATCCTGTCACCTGTCTCTAAGAATTATCTCTATAATGGATTTCTAGAGACATGGCCTACAGATGTCTGAAGTTGATATGCAATGGCAGAACTGAAAACCTTAGATGAGCTTTACACAGACCTGGTCCCCACTCTCTCCCCACCTTTCCTATCTATAATTGGACTGGTTCACATGATTTCTGTTCTCTCTGTAATTGTTCAAACTTGGACCACCAGGAGGTCTTTGCTTCTTGTTAGGCCTAGAGTGCCCCCTAGAGGACTGAAGGGGTCAACTAAGATGCCTTCAGACCAAGCAACTCCTCCGACACAGATCCCCAGGCCTATTCATTCCAATCTTCCTGATGAAGGAAATGCAGATGGTCAGAGTTGAAGATAATTGCTTAGATTGAATGAGGATTACAAGTAAACCTAAACCTACTTTTAATGTGGACTTTTAAAGAAAATTGTATCAGAAAATAATTCGGTAAATCTCATTTTGTGCTATTTATTTGATTTCTTTACTGCAGTTCAAAAGAAATCCACAAATATTCCTTGAACTTTTAGTTTCATTGGGGTAGTTTACTAGATTTCAGAATATATAAAGAGTAATGGAATATTACTCAGCCATATAAAAGAATGAAATTTTGCCACTTGGCTTAACATGGTCAGAGCTAAAGAGTACAATAATGAGGGAAAATGAGGAAAATAATGCAGTTGGAGGAAGACTAGTACCATATGATTTCACTCCTGTGGAATTTAAGAAACAAGCCAAACAAGATAAAGGGAAAAAATAAGACAGAGTGAGATAAAGGAAGAACAAACTCTTAAATAAACAGAACACAGTGATGGTTACCAGAAGGGAGAGGGCTGGGCATTGGTTAAATAGGTGAGGAGATGAAGAAGTGCCTTTGTCCTGATGAGCACCAGGTGATCTGTGGAAGTGTTGAAAGAAAACAGCCAAGAAAGGTGAGCAGATGGGATGGGATTTTCCTGCTGCTTCTGTGTGGAAAGACTAAGCCCTTTCCTCACCTGCTAAACCCACCACACCCACAGGAGAGATCCCAAGGAAGGTCAGTCTTGTGGAATCAGTCAAAGCTATCTAAGAAAACACCTCGTTAGCGAACTAAGGTTACTCCTGCAAAGGGAAGATCTAAAGAAGAAAAGAAGAGATTAAAACATTTAATATTCCAGTAGAAAAGAGAACAGAGAAGAAAACTGGGAGAGATGAAATATCAAGAATAAATTGAGATTTGCAGAAAAGGATGAAAGTAAAATTAAGCAAATTTCACATCTTGATAGAGCAGGATAAAAACAAGTGTGAGTAGCAGCCTCTACACATTCTTCAGTGGTCCCCCATATATCCATTCTTTCACAACTGGGAATGCTTTAAGAGCTATTGAAAGCACACATTGCTAATGCCTCTAAAAACCCATTAAGAGAAGTTGAGAAACCATCATCAAAATTGTCTATAATCATTCTCCGCATGAGAAATCAAGTGCAAATTTGAATCAAGGGAGACTTCGACTCTCTTGTTTATGCATATCACATTTATTTTAGTATCTTATTAAATGAAATGTATCACAAAAAGCAATCTTGGAGTCATACCCACACATAAAAATATCTTAATCATTTTAACAGCTTATCTTTAAATGCATGCTTTAGTGCATTGTTTCCTAAATTAAAGTGTTCCTTTGTCTTAGATATTCCCCCTAGGAATTATGTATATAGATCTAATATCCTAACAAAAGATCCCCACTAAATAACCTAATTTACAGATCAAGGAACTATTGAAAGAATAAAGTAAGTTCCAAGTCTAGAGAAGGAAGGAAATAACAAAAATTACAGCAGAAATAGCAAAACAATAGAAAAAGTCACAAACTAAGAGATATTTTTTGTTGTTAGTTTAAAAAGAGAGAGTACATGCAAGCTGGGGGAGGGAGAGGGAGAGAGAGAATATTAAACGGCTCCACATTCAGTCCAGAGCCTGACACAAGGATCAGTCTCACAATCCTGAGGTCATTACCTGAACCTAGATCAAGAGTTGAATGCTTAACCCACTGAGCCACCCAGGCAAGCCTAAAAGTTATTTTTCTGAAAAGGAAACATAAGAGAGAAGTTCCACAATATTGGTTTTAGCAATAATCAATGATGTGACATCAAAAGCAAAGGGAACAGAAGCAAAAACTAACAAGTGGGACCACATCAAACTAAAAAGCTCAGTACAACAAAGGAAACAGTCAGCAGCATCAAAAGTCATCCTACAGAGTGGAAGAAAATATTTGAAAACTACATATATATGATAAGTGGCTAATATCCAAACTATAAAAGGAACTCCTATAATAATAGTTTTTTAAAAATACTAATAAGCCAAATTTAAAAAATGGTCTAAGGACTAGATAGACATTTCTTCAAAGAAGATACTCAAATTGCCAACAAGTATGTGAGAAAATACTCAATGTCACTAATGATCAGGAAAATACGAATCAAAGTCCCAGTAAAATATCACCTCACAGAGTCATGTAAATATGTAAAAATGGGCCATCCCATTATATATTTCAGTATTTAAAATGTTGATACTAGCCACGACCTAAAGGTGGCAGAAAAAAGCACATACTTTAAACATGTGTAATTTTCTACTCCCTTTTAATGATGACTATCTCAATGTATTTGCCACTACATTTGCAACAAATTTTTGTATCATCCATATGTTATACATTAAACAATGATGACTATTATCAAAAATAGAAAATGACAGTGTTGTCAAGGATGTGAAGAGATTGGAACACTTGTGCATTCTTGGTGGGAATGCACAATGCTCTAACCATGGAAAACAATATAGGGGTTCTTCAAAAGTTGAAAACAGAACTAACATATGATCCAGTAATCCCACTCCTGGGTATATAATAATAAGAACTGAAATCAGGGGACACCTCTGTGACTCAGTCAGCTAGATGTTTGCCTTTGACTCAGGTCATGATCCCAGGATCCCTACTCAGTGGGGGGTCTACTTCTCCCAATGCCTGCTCCTCCCCCTGCTGTACTCTCCTTCTCTCTCTGACAATAAATAAATAAATAATAAATAAATAAAATCTTTTAAAAATAATTGAAATCAGAATCTTAAAGAGTTATTAAGCACTCCTATGCTCATTGCAGTACTGTTCACAATAGCCAAGATAGGGAAACAACTTGAATGCCCAACAACAGATGAATGGATAAAGAAAGTGTGCTATATACATAAGCAGAGTACTGTTCAGCCTTAAAAAGAAAAAGGAAAAGAAAATCCTACAATATGCAACCACATGGATGAATCTTGAGGATATTATGGTAACTGAAATAAGCCAGTTACAGGAAGACAAATAGTATGTGATTCCACTCTTAATGTGGTATCTAAAATATTCAAGTTTATAGAACCAAAGAGTGAATCAAAGAAAAGGTTTCCATAGGCTCTGCAGACAGGGTAAGAGGGAGTTATTAATCCAGCATATGAGAGATTACAGAGTTATTGTACAACATTGTACCCATAGCCAACAATCCCATATTGTACACTTAAAATTTTAAGAGGCTATATCTCATGGTAAGTGTTTGCTACACAATACAAATTACATTAAAAAAAAAAAAAAGACAGCACAGTCTCATCTGTTAGAATGGCCAAAATCCAAAATACTACCACCACCAAATGCTAGTGTCAGAAACTCAGAAATAGCCCAGGTCAATCCATGAATTTCACCAAAGTAGTAATTAATAATAAAAGTGTCATGTGCATATCTGAAAAGACAGTTCATGAAGTGGGAACACTCAAACCAAAATATGGAAAGAGGCTCAGGGGTATATTGCTAGAAAGCAGTCGATATAGTGAGAAGTCTGGGAGTGTCTACTCTTCACAGGCAGTATTGGTTATAATATCAGAATTCCTGTAAATGATGTCAGAAGCTGCTCAGTGGACACCTAATATCAAACTTAGGAAATAGTTCAAGTTTCACTTACGATTTCCAAAGGTACAGCAAAAAATGATTCAGGTCAAGGTAGTCTGCCAAAATAAATTAAATTAAGCTTTATTTGAAGGATTAAATTGATTTTGAAGTG